TTTAGAATTCTAAGAATTCATATGGTTTTTATCCTTACTAAAATATATCAGCTGTTTTTCACGAGGATTTTTTCCTCTCCCTTATGACAGTTAAGAAAACTGAAGAGTATGTCAGTTTTATCTCAATAAAGTTGAAAAAAAAGAAAAAAAAAAAGAAACTGAAGGGCCTGGGTGATATACCTTTTTGGGATTCCTCAACCAGTCAGAGCAGATAAAAATTCCCTATTGTCCATGTCACTCTAGCCCTGCATTGGAAATGAATTCCAGATAACTCACCTTGACTTACTTCTTCCTGGGCATTAAAAAAATTCCCTTTATCAAGTGCAGGCCAGTCTGACCACCTCATGGGGCAGACCAAGCAGGGTTTCCATGTCATGGTCACTGAAACCTAGAAGTGTCCAGAACCAGCAGACCCCAACTTCTGCTCTTTCACTCCAGCACACAAATGGGCATATGGGCTGGCCTGCTGATTCCTTGACAAATGCTAAACAGTCCTCTAGGGGTAGTAGGGCTCTGAACTTCTGGCTCTGGGTCTGGGTTGACTGACTTTGTCCTGCTGGGACATTCTCTGTCCTGGGCAGGCGCTAACACAAGCTCCCTGGTCTGCAGCTCATGCTTCCTCTGCTGCTGCTTCTATGGATGCAACCCCTGCAGGGCTTTGCTTGCTTTTGGGCTGCTGCTGGGAACCAAATGAAGTTTTCCTGCTTCCCCTACCACAGGCCTCAGGCTTTTCCCTCCCACATAGAATACAGTTCCTTTATTACTTCCTCTGCAGTGGGCTTTTCTCCTTGCCTTAAGAAGCTCATGCTTTAGTTTCCCTTGCTTTTCTTCTGGTTGGCTGCTGTGTGACGCTTTCTCCCAGATGGTCCACTTCTGGGACAAGATGTACAGCATCCTGCATGAAAACTTCTCTTGGACAGCATTTCAAATACTCAATTTAGCAACCCCAGGCCTTGCTGACCCAGAAACACAAATGGGACATTGGCAGGTCCTGAAATAAGTTAGCTGTTTCCCTTTACGGCTTTGGTTGTTCAGTGTATTTTCTATTTAACTTCTCTGGTCATATCCCATCGCAATTTAAAACTCTTCAGCTTCCTAGTACACGTGGGCTAAAATCCAAACTGATGAGTCCTCCGAGGCCTTGTGTGGCTCAGACCCTAGTTGTATCTCTTACCTCCTCCCATACCATTCTCTTTGTTTCAGTCACACTGGGTTCCTTTCTGTTCCTCAAACATGCCAAACTCTTTCTGACCCCTGGGCCTTTGAGTTTGCTGTTCCCTCTATGAGGAACATGCTTCCTTGTCTTCCTCATGGCTGACTTCCTTAACTATCAGGTTACAGCAGCCTCAAAGAGGCCTTGCCTGACTACTTTGTCCAAAGATGCTATCTCTGGCCTCTGTCCAGTTCCCCTTTACCACACACCCCTTGCTACTTTCCTTCACAGGGTTTATTACATTGTGTAACTACCCTATTATTTCTTTGCTTGTCTATTGTCTGTCTCCTCCTCCTTCACCCTAGCCAAATGACACTCTGCAAGGTCAGTGACCTTACCTGTTTTGCTCATCATTGTATCCTCAGCACCTAGTGCCAACTGTGTGCCAGGCACAGTTCTAGGCACTGTGGTTCTAAATCCCTGCTCTCATGGAGCTTATATTCTAGTGGAGACAGATACAAGTCATATAAACAAATGAATATATAATTTCGAATATCGATGGCTACCATGATCAGTAAAGTGGTATAAGGGGATAGAGTGTGTCTCAGGGAATGTGGAGGAGTTGTGGTGGTTAGATAAGGGTGATCAGGAATGGCCACTTTGGAGGGGTGACATTGGAACAGAGAATATAGATTGCCAGGACAAAGCAGACTTTAAAGTTATGAGGGAACGGCAAGTGTAAGGGTCTCAAGGCAGCAGCCAGCTTGGCAACGCTGGTGTGGCTGGAGTGGAGTGAGCCGGGGAAGGGGAGAGTGGGAAATGAGGCTGGAGACAGAGGGAGTGGGTACAGGCCATGAGGATCTGCCTCGGTTGGATAAAGTTTGACTTTTCTTCTAAGTAGGATGGGACATATCCATATGGTAATATTCAGTTTCCAAAGCACATACACCATCTCACTTGATCCGCACAAGAACCTCTGAGGTAGGTAGGACAGATAATAGGTAATACCTTTGATCATGAAGGAAACTACCATTTTATCATTTTATCAAGAAGGAAACTAAAGCTCTGTTCAATTAGAAAAGTTGCTTTAAGTCATACAGTTCAAACAAGATTCTTTGACTCTAAATCAGTGGTGTTTAACCTTGGCTGTGCATTGAAATTTTGGGGAGAGCTCTACAAAATACTTATATCTGGGTCCCACCCCCAGAAAATGAGTTTCAGAGGTCCAGGGTGTGGCCCAGGAGGCTTGCTAAAGCTCTCCAGGTGATTCTAACGTGGCCGTGACCCACTGCTCTCAGTCCACCTGCTTTTCACTACAGGAATTCCTCCTCGACAGAGCCTTCCCACTAAGCTGCCCATTAAAATCACCGGGGGAGTGTTCTACGAATTATGGAGTCCCAGACTCCAAGTTAGAGTCTAAAATCAGAATTTCTGGGCCTGGGGCTCAGGCACTGGCTTGTTTGAAAGCGCCAAATCATTGCTTATCGGCTTTAGAGCTTCCCACATTTATTTTTTCTATTTTCATATCTGTTGTCTCCTCTCTTGTTTCCTTTGAGATTTATGCTTTTTTTATTCCTTTCCTGTCATTTGCATGTGATTTCAGGAAGCAGTGGATTTAAATGAGTACACTCCACATACCATGTTGAACTGGAGGTCTGCAAAATAATTAAATTTTAATTATAAAAGTTATACACATATTAACTGTACAAAAATCCAAATATTATAAAAGGGCATAGAGTGTTAACTGAAAGTACTCCAGCCCCACCTCCCCCATTCCCATTCCTCAGAATTAACCGTTAGCCTGCTAATAACAATTTCATAAATGTAAGGTTTAATTAGAGATATCATTAAAATTTTAATATATTTACTCTTCTCTGTGGTTTTAAATCACCCACTTTAAATTTAAATAACTTCATGTCTTTTATTGCATTCTAGTGCATCTTTATGCTTTTTTATATGACTTTTCCTGTGCCTGGTCTGCTCCCCCACACTATTCTTCTGGGGAGCCCCTATTAAACCTTTAATTTCCAGCCCACACATCAGTTCTTAATTTATGGAGGACTTCAAAATCTCCTAGGCAAAATTAATGCTCCCTTCTTCGTGTTCTTATACCACTTTGTTCATATCTCTATCCTAACACATCTCTCACAACTTGGACATTATTTTCTTATCTTAACATCTATACATTGCCAACCTGAGATGGTGGAGGCTGTATTATGCAACTCTATACTACTGCTATTTCTGTACCGCAATTGTCTTCTCCCAGTTTGTGGCTTTTCTTTTCTTTTTCTTATGCCTTTCGATGAAGAGTTCTTGATTTTAATGCAGTTCAAATTTATCAAAGTTTTCTTATGTCATTTAATAAACATCACCCTGAGTTTGTGCTTATGTCACTTAATAAACATCATCCTGAGATCATAGGATGTTTTCCTTGATGTTCTTTCAAAAGTTTTGATTTTGCTTTTCCTCTTAAAGTCTTTAATCTACCTGGAATTAGTTTTCGTGTGTGGGTGAGTTAGGGATCCAAGAGATAACTAGTTCTTCCAGCTCATATACTGAATAGGTTATCTTCCTCCATTGGTCCATAATGCCAGCTCTGTCATATATCAAGATTCTATACATGTGTGGACCTGTCTCTGGGTTCTTTAGGTTGTTTTACCTCCCCCTCACCCCCTGGCCCCTTCTATCCCTATGCTAATACCACATGCCCTAATCTTTGTAACTTTATAATAAATATCTATATATGGAAAGGCAAGTCCTCAAAACATGTTATTCTTCCTCAAGAGTGTTTTTGCTATGCTTTGCTCTTTGTTTTTTTGCATATAAATTAAAGATTACCTTGTGACGGTCCAGAAAAGTCTTGTTGGAAAATAGAACTGCATTGAATCAATAGGTGAAACTCACTCTCCATCTGTCCCCTCAGCTCAAGAGATGTTTGTAGAATGAACGTCTGTCTGATGATTGTCTCTCCAAAGTACATCTTACATATAAACAAACATTCGATAGAGGTTAGTGAATGAATGCATGAGGACAAAAGATAACTAACATTAACCAGCACATTCTTACTATTCAGCAACTATTCAGCCAGTATATTTTTTCCTCACCTTATTTCAAATACACAAACCCACAACTCCATCCTCCACAGAACACGAATCTATGACCTACTTGGAAAGCTTCTTGAAAAACAAATTTTAAGGAAAATTTAGTGTCCAGGGCCCAGGTAAAGAAACAAGGCCATCTGCCAGGTGAAGTGTCTGTGACCCCTTCTGCCTCTCCAGGTGGAGCAGTCCAGCGGGGCCGGGGTGGTTCTTGTCCCGCATCCCGGCGCCTTGGAGAACCAAGAACTACAAGTCCCGGCAGGCCGCGCGGCACCTCGGCTTAACTAAGCGCAATTAGGGTTGGTGGCGAGCGACGTTCCCGAACTCTCGCCACTGGGCTGCGGCGGGAAGCCGGGCGCCACGGCACTGCTTCCCACAGGGTGAGTAGGGGCGGCCCCTCGGAAGCGGGCGTGGAGCCCGGGCCGCCGGGTCGCACCGCACAAGGAGCGCCGGGAGCCCGTGTGCGCGCGCCGGCACCCGCTCTTGCTTGGGCCCCATGCAGCCACCTGCGGAACCAGGAGAAAACCCCAGCTGGTGACCTTGTCACCCTGGGCGCGGGCACGTGGCTCGGCTGACTGGCAGTGCCCCGCCCCCTCTGCGGCGACTCTCCAGCCTGGCTCACCGCGGGTGCTGAAGCGTAGACTGGCTCCTTCGGTGGCGCAGTCTTGCTTGTAGGTAGAGCTGGAGCTGGAGGAGGGCAGCAGGTGGCTCATCCATAAGTCCTGACCCCCAGGTTGTCTGTGAGGTCCC